CCGACCGGTCGAAATTATAACCCCCCCCCCCGCCCCCTCGTTCTTGGGACCATGTCATATGAATAAAAAAAGGTCTGGTAATAACGGGGCGCAATTAGAAATCTTATATCAAAAGCTTCTCGAGATATCGCTCGGAAACGAAAGTATTCAAGACAGACGGCCAGATGTCAAAATTCATTCATGCTCGGATCTCTCTTATTTACAGTACCCATTAATCACCATTTTGAACATATCAAATATGTGGAATATTTTAAATATTGTTAAACAGTTGAATTGCCTGTGCTATTTTCCTTTACATCAAAACTCTCTCCACCCCCACCCCCCCTCCCCACCCCCGAAGAGTTGCCCAAGGATTCACCTTTTTCAAAGGAAGGACTAAATGAAATTCCAATTAGTCCAACAATATCGCACGAAGATGATTTTTTGTTACAAGTAATGTGTAAATAGGTAATACTAGTATAAGATTTCAGGAGTATATCATTAATAAATGCTTCAGAATGCGTTAAATAAATTTTACACTTCAGTCATTCGTAACAGGTTTGCTTGATAATAACATGTGTCTTTACTGTACAGATTTTCGATTAACATGTTCTTATTTACACATTGATGCCATTATGGAACAAGATGTACCTGGGGAAATAATTATTACCCTAACTTTTTTTCACACGTAATCTCTAAAGTGTGACAAACCATGGCAATTAATTTTTATTCTAACAGGTCAACTTTATTAATCACTTCCGGATATTACTTTTGACACTGTCCCTTGCTTTCATTATCTAAATTTTTATTATGCGGAAATCGCATTAAATAATGAACGTCAAATATTTATCAATCTTCAAAATTAACGCTTGGACCTTTCTATTTTTATACAAAATTAATTTACGTTGATTGTTTGAAAACATTCATTTCACAAGAACATTTTATTTGACAATATCCTCCATGGTTTGAAAGACACTATTTACATTCGGCACAAAATCGGGAAAAAAGAAAGAGACAGCTTTAACCTCTCGTACATTTACTTACTTTTTTTTAATTCACCAATTAAGAAAATGTGTTTGTGAAACACTGATGCCCCCATATGGCAGCTTATGGCTAGGGTTGAATTCTCTCAAATGCATGTCAAACTCCAAAGGTCAAAATAAGAAATATAGGTACCCAAAGGAAAGTCTTGTTACAAAAACACACCTGTGAAATATAAAAGCCCTAGTTCTAACTGTTCAAAAATTATGATAAGGTTAAAAGTTTTAAAAAATGGGCCAAACTCTTCGGTCAAGGTCAAAAATACTTATACCAACTGAAAGGTCTTGTCTCAATAAATATACAAGCGCAGTATGAAAGCCATAGCTCCAACTATTCAAACGTTGTTTGAACGTTCCTGGCTCAGTGTTTCTTGAGATATTTTTAAAAAAGATGCCATCAATTTTTCACAAATTCATAATTTCCCCAATTTGGAAGATATATGTGTGACCCTGCATTTGAACAAACTTGAATCCCCTTCACCCAAGGATACGTTTTGGCAGGCTTGGTTGAAATTAGCCCAGTGGTTTCTAAGGAAATGAAAATGTACAACGTCGAGACGAACACCTGTCCATTCAATTCAAGGTTAAGGTTTCTCGCTTAGAGATATTGTCGAGAGGCAGGAGCGTGCAACGCAAAAAATCAACGATGCTGATCCGAGAGAAGCTGGAGGATCCTGCCCCTTGGTGCATTCACCTTCAAGTTGGTCCTGGAGGAGAGAGAATGTGCGCCGCCGGAAGTCCTCTTCCCCATCAAACAAATGTATCTTTTATTTTTCTTAAGCGTGAGAATTTTTTTGTGGGACCTTGAGCATCCCCTCATGCTTTTCATCGGGTGTTTATGATTGGTCGCGTTTTTAGTTCTGCTGGTCAGAGACCAGAACAGCTTTTGTGATAGTAATGCGTCTGTCGTCCCTCCGTCTGTAAACAATTTTTCAAAATGCTAGAACGGATATTTAATCCGTTGTTGTTTGAATTACTGGTTAAATTTAATCTACCAGTTTCAATACAATAACACGTACAGAATACCGTATAAGTAGAATTTTTAGCGAGGATTTAATTTTGGCATAATTAGCGAGAGTGTCGAGATCGCTAAAATTGAATATCGCCAAAAATTAATTGCGTTGTATTTGTGATAGTTTCTTTAACGTGCATATTAAAATCGCTAAAATAACATTTCGCTAAAAATAAATTACCAGCTTTTAAGGACAAATCGCTAAATTTGCGTCTCGCTAAAATTTCCACGTATACGGTACTTAGGTTTTTAAGGATATATTTGAAGTTATTGTCTTGGAATGAAACAAATATGGAGATAACGATCACAGTATTTAAGATCAAAGGTCCATAAAATGAAAAAAATTGTGTGTTCAGAACAAACCTTCAATGTATAAAATTTACTCGTCTTTGTTTCATCTTCACTTTAATCCCGCGTGGCGCAGTGGTTAGAGTGTCTGCTCTAGAGTCGCGAAGTAAGGAGTCAATCCTTACGTCGCGTGTTCGAATCCCACTGTTGGTCGTGGAGACCGGTCCTTCGAATGAGACCGTATGAACCTAGGTCCCGTGTCGCAGTAGGTGCTTGCACGAAAAAGATCCCTCCCTGCTCAATGTCCCTAAGTGCCGAGTATAGGACAAAATTTGCAGCTCTCCACCGGCAAGTGGTGGAATCTCCATATAAGTGAAACATTTTTGAGAGGGACGTTAAACGATATACAATCAATCTGACTCTTTACTTTACAAGTGGTCTAAGAACATTTTTTCAGACAAGCAAAATTTCAAAATGAATTGCCAATTTTGATACCAAATTGAAAATTGGATAAAATTTTGTTTTAATTGCTTTTAGATTTCAATACCTGAGGATTATTACCAGTGGCTGGAGGCATTGGATGCAGAGTTTGATGACAAGCTTGGCCGAGTATTGAGGGGACCCATGTGGAGTGGCCAGTCCTCGGATTGTGTTGGTGACCCATTAAAGGTATCATATATTGAATAGTCTTCCCTTGTGTTGCATTGAAATATGTGGCTTACAAAATGTAGAGATATAGCGCTAACAAATATTTTAATGAAACATATAAACTAAATTATATAAACTTAGCTGTCAGCTATTCAATACAGAGAGGATTATTAATGTATACAAATTTAATCAAGTGATCAAGCATGAAAATTGCATGAAATTCTTTTAGTATGAAGGAAAGTCAAATGGTACTACTATATAGGAAGTATAACTTTAGTGATCTTAATTAAACTTTTGAAGAAAATGTGTTTTTTTAATATTGTATAGACTCTAGCTATCAATGTATTGAAGGAAACCAATCCTGTAGGTCGTTATTGGATCAAGCTTGGTGGTACCGATGTCAAGGAGGGGCTGCAACACTCCATGAAAGAGAAATGGGATGGTGATGTTGACATGCTAGATGGAGAGCTCAGCAAGTTGCAAGAGGAATATAGATTGAGATTAAAGTCGGTCACCCTCTCCGACTTTACTGACTGTGCGATTCCGCGTGAGGAGATACTGTGTGATCTGAATTGTGACAAGACTTCTCTGGAGAAACTGTTCACGGAGGCAAGCAGAAACCTTAGGAGTAAAATTTCACAAAAAATACCAGCGCTGAAACTCTTAAGACACTCAACTGGGATGTAGTCGAGTGTAATACCCTTCTACAACAGTGTAAGGTTTTGTAGACCAGTTTGACAACGCAGAAGATATACCTGGACTACTGAAGTGTCTGTCCGATGACCTCCGTGTATATTTCAAAAACCTCTACAAGAAGAAGAGAACAGCAGCAACTCATGTACTTGTGATAGCTGTGTCTGATGAACAGAGAAGAAGCAAACCCTACACACTTCCTGTTCAGTTCATACCTTACAAATCCTTGCGGGATCAGTTCATCAGAGATTTAACATTGCCTTTGAAAAGAGCCATGACAGATGCTGGACTGGAGGTTGTTGGTAAGTTCTACCGAGTGATCAATTAAGTAGCAGGGCTGTCCAAAATACCCAGGGTAGGGAAATCCCCAACTGTATTGACACAGTCTCCCGGTTATTCTGGTATCCCCTCAAGGCCCTGTTAAGGGAGGAACTTCAAACCCCCTTCTATAATATTATGTCCCCTGTTATTTCAATTGTTAGGGACAACCCTTTAAGTAGTATCATTTTAAATTTAAAAAAACATATGAACTATGACTTAAACACATTTAATACTGATACTTTTAATGTTCTCCAAATTGTGTCAAATATATCAGTTTCAATTTATATTATTTTCAGGTACAGTGACAGATGGGGAATTCAATTCTCCCAGAACACAAGGTGAAAGTGGTCCTCTCCACATTTGGCAGTTGGTGCATGATGCCAAGGAAGCAGTGAGAAAAATGTCGAAAACCACTCTGCAATCTATGCTTTCATATGCTGGAGGTACATACATGTATAGACATTTTGACATGTAAATTTTAGAAGAAAAAAATTAAAAAGCAAATAATCATCAATTCTTTTGCAATATAAAATATCCTGTATTATGATGTATATAACCTAAAAAATATTTTTTAAGTAATTTTAAAGTAACTTAGTTGAATGTTTCACTTATTAAGCATGTTGTATTGTAACCAATTAAAAAATTAAAATTAGACCTTTCATTTCGCTCTTTGTAAATTGATTTGTCGCAGCGACAAATCAATTTTCAAAGAACGAGATGAAAGGTCTAATTTTAATTAGATTGTATTGTAACTTAGTTGAATGTTTCACTTAATTAGCATGTTGTATGTTTTTAGAGGATGCAAATGGTATTCCTTTTTCTGCCACACCAAACTCTGCCATTCCAACAGATCTGATTGGGGAATTGCATGAACTACAGAATGGTGGCCTTTCTTTTGAGGATGCAATTGTGAACATCTGAGGTTCACTGGTGCCAGAGGGGTATACACCATATCCATTCAGAAAGGATACCCCAGAGTCCTTCTTGGACAAGATGAGGAGAATCGTAGCCACTTTTATATATAAAGATGCAATCAAAACCTTGCAGCAAGAGGGTAGGGACTTCACCCAACAGCTGTATGTTCCTGAGAAGGATTCAGTCACTGGGAAAGATCATCATGAAAGAGGTGACCATAACCACATACTGAAGAGAATTGCTGGCTGCACAAGAGAATGCCGTCACCAGGAGCTTAATCCGTAAGCCTTTGACAAAGCCATGCTTGATCCACTAACAGGATTATCCCATGCTGCTCTAACAGGTCAACGCCCACAGTCCGTAGAAGATGCAGAGAGACTCTTATCCTATCATGTTGCGGCCTCAATGCAAAAGCAGGACTTTAACTTTGAAGCAGAGTATGTGCAGACCATAGCTGCCTGGCATGAAGCTTCAGATGGAAGAGGAATAAGCCAGCTAGATCGCTGCAAAGCAAACCATGAGATGCTTAATTATCTGTTGGATCAGCTGATGCCATGGCACAAGGAGAGATATGATTTCTCAACTCTCGACATAAACAGGTCAGTGTACCTTCATATACCAGTAGATTTTATAATCTATATGTAGTTCCACAGCTTCCAGTCTAAAATGATTTTTCAAAACAATAAATACATTCTTTTACTAGCAAACTGTAGCATTTTGATTGATAGTTTTAACTTGTCATACACCTGTGTAAAAAAGTCAAATTTTCCTCTGATGGATGTATTAACATGATTACTTAAAACCACTTCAACATTTTCCTTTCTTATTTTTTAGACCAATGGATACAATCAGGGGGTTCACGAGGGAAACTTTCATAGAGATTACGACAAATATTGAAAGTCAGGTATACAGACGGAGGCAGAACAACATCCTCGGGCATCCTGAACACCCAAGAGCCGCCACAACAGATGATGTTGAATGTTTCTTCAGCTTGACCAGGCGGCACCTTGGGGATACCTACACAGTGAAGGAATTTCGTACTAGTTGGAGGAAACTGGTGAGAGAATTCTGCAAAAGAATTGATCCAGATTTGAAATTCCATTACTGGACACTTAATGAAAGATTCCATGTGGAACAATCACAATTTGACAAAAGTGCTGGTGACAAGACTTCATGTGGTAAAACATAAGTCTCGTGAGGACAGCTCCATATTCACGGCCGGACGGGCATTCTTGCCAGCCAAGAACAAGCAGTCCATTAGACAGAGACTTTTTCGAGTGGATGTGGGACTACCACCAGTTCCTAATGCAGTTCGACCCTGTTGACTTATAGGCCATCATGATTGAACATTTTTAGAAGTTCCACGATGATTAAAATTGACGTGGCCTATTTTCTAAATTCTAAAACCTAAACTGAATGGCTGAAAACCATAAATTTCGTTTCAATTTGACATATTGAAAATTTTGATTATTACAGAAATGTGTTGTTTTAAATTGACATGGTCTTTTATTTTGAACCTGTAAATCTACCAGGTACTCTTAACATGTTGTTGTGCTTCGATTTTGTGTAATTAAAGGAAAATCTTCTTTCTGATAATCTAATTAAAGCTAAATTTTGTTTACCTGGTATTGTTTGATATATTGTTCACTTTATATGTAAAATCATTTTTTTTTTTGGAAAATTGACATAGGATAAAATTGAGAATCATAAAATTGGTTTCCTTATGTTTTGATTTCGAGTTAAGGAAACTGTGAAAATCTGATGAAAGATAAATTGTGTTTATTGTACATTTTGATGATCTTCTCTTTGTAAAATCAACATATTCCATTATTCATAGTTTTTTTTTGAAAATTGACATAGGATAAAATCGAGAATCAAAAAATTGATTTCCTTAATATGTCTTGATTTCGAGTTTAGGAAACCTTTTTTCTGTGATAATCTGATGAGAGCAAAATTGTGTTTATTGTACATTTTGATGATCTTCTCTTTATGTAAAAGCAGCATATTCTGTTATTTTCAAATTTTTTGTAAATTTGGATAAAGTTGAGAATAATAAAATTGGTTTTCTTATGTTTTGATTTCGAATTGAGGAAACCTTTTTTCTTTTGTGATGATCTAACAATGTTGTCTCTGCTAAGTTGTTTTGATAATGTTCACTATGTAAAAATCAACATTGTCTGATACATGTATTTTTAACTTTTGTTAATTAGTGACATTTATAATTCTGTTTTCTTATCTGTTGATTTCAAGTAAGGTCTTATTGTGTGATTAACCTTGTCCAAATGTATTTATATTACATTTTCATGTTGTATCAGCTACATGTATTATGGAATGTTATACTTGTCTGTTATTTTTTTTATTTTGTTGATTATAATCATTTACTTTACAATATTCAAGTATGTGATTGTTGTTAGCATTAAAACTTTTGAGGGGTTCACCCACAAACCCTCTCTCTCTTAACTGCAGTTCAAAATGTATCTATTGATCTCATCTCATTTTGGCTTTGTTATTAAAACTTAACTGTTATTTGTTATATATAAGAGCAATATTAAAATATGGAAACTTTACTTGCATTTCTTTCTACATTTTTTGGTTCATCTTAACCAGATCTTGTGGCTAGACAACCAGGAAGCAGTCTTAAACCAAAGTCAAAATTTATACATTGCCTTCTTTAGTAGTTTTCATGTATATTAAACACTGTATCTGAAATCTCATTAATACCATTATTTCTTCCAAATTTTCAAGTGTCCATACTACCTTAATAATAAAAATTCAAGTTAATGATGAATTTTGACTTCAGTTCTGCTTTAAATTTCTGAGTCCCAACTTCTTTCAATTTTACACAAAGAGGACAAGATCTTCAAATTCAAATACTTTATATTGGTTCACATATTGGTTTATGAATACAAAGAGTTCTTGATGGCTGCAGTTTACATTTAAATAACATTTTAAAGATATTCACAAAAACAAAATAAGCTTATCATTTCCTAAGTTCTATGGTCGATACAATGACCTTGTCAGCAAATACAATTTATCATCGAGTCAAATGCTGACTGATGTTTTTTATACTAATCGTTAGTCCATTATTTATACACTGAATTGACCACGGATTTTTCCGTTATTTCCTGATCACGACAAGGAGAGCACGGCGGGTGTGACCGGAACAGTAGGGGATGCTCACTCCTCCATGGGACCTGATCCCACCTCTGATGTTTCGGAGGTCCGTGTTTGCTCTGCTCCTATTTTGTATTGTTTTATGGACTTTGAGATTGAATACTGTTTATTATTTCCATATCCTTCTTTTAAATGATCTGATAAATAAACACCGTATCATAAATAATGTTTGTCAAACACTGAATCTGCACTTTATACTTCAAAGAACAGAGTTGTAAGTATTGCTGTCACTGTCTGGTAGCCATCTTCCTTTTTTACATATGTAAAAAAAAACACGTAGTTTTCTGGCATTGAGGTTGTTCACAAACCAGGAAGTCACAGATTTCACATGGATGGACACGATTTCCCTGTTCTTAATGGCCGAAGTCACTTTCGGAATTTTCCTAACACCTACGTATCCGAGTAGGAGAGACTGCATGTTCCTCGATAAGTGCAATAACACGTATGGCATTAGCGTCTTTGGGGTTTTCTCTCTCGGGTACCAACTGGACGACAATGTCTTTTTGATGTCTTAGGGTGTCCTGGACAGTTCTTAAGTTGGTCTGGTACCTCTCTTCATATGTAGACCCTTTCACAACAAATACATATTGTTTAACGTCCCTCTCGATAATTTTTCACTCATATGGAGAGCTGCAAATTTTGTCCTATGCTCGGCACTCAGGGCCATTGAGCAGGGAGGGATCTTTTACGTGCCAGCACCAACTGCGACACGGGACCTCCATTTATACGGTCTCATCCGAAGGACCGGTCTCCACGTCCCACAGTGGGATTCGAACCCGCGACGTAAGGATTGACTCCTTACTTCGCGACTCTAGAGCAAACGCTCTTACCACTGCGCCACGCGGGCGACCCCATATTGTTTGGAGGTCATGACTTTCTTTCACAGATGTCAGCATACGATGAATCATGTTTATTCTCCTTATCCTTTAATTTGCATCATGTTTAACAATCTGCCTTGTACTATATTTGTAAAATGCTTCTCTTTGTTTACTGTTACGTCATACACTGAAAAATGTCGTAATTTAATGCATTTAAGAGCATGCTCTACGTAAGAACAATTTCTAAAACGAGATAAATCATTGACAAGCAAGTTGATGAAACAAGAATATCAACAGTCTCGTTAAAAAGTCATCATTTCGTAAGTTGGTCGATACAACGCCCTTGTCAGCAAATACAATTTGTCATTGAGTCAAATGCTGACTGACGTTTTTCAAAACAAATTGTTAGACCATTATTTATACACTGAATTGACGACGGATTTTTCCGTTATTTTACGGTCGGCAGGGGATGCTCACTCCTCCATGGGACCTGATCCCACCTCTGATGTTTCGGAGGTCCGCGTTGACTCTTCTCTTGTTTTGTTTTGTTTTATGGACTTTGAGTTTGAATTCTGTTCGTTATCTCCATATCCTTCTTAATGGAGAAGAACCCTGTGAAGTCGCCCCTATGTTACCTTCGCTCGCTAAGTGTCACATTCATTTACCCTCAACTCCACCTTGGTAGTTTCTAACAAATCCTCGCACTTTGACTTTTCAGGGCAACCAATCAAATTGCTCTTAACAAATACGTTTGGTTTGTTTCAAGGGCGCGACCAGTGTCAACTTCATAGCAAGACAAACTGACCATTTGAGAAGTTTGTTATATCAGAAAAGATAGCCCTTGAACAAAATATAAGTGAGGATAAAGTACCATAAAATACAAACGAAAATAATTTTGACCCAACAAAAAATCCATCACACATGAGTAAAGAAAAATGAAGACAAAGCTGGCATCGGTTGGTTTGAAAAGGAGTTTTTAACTTAAATTTAAGTTAATTGATATCTTTGTTGTTGTGAAACCTAAATCTAAGCAAGATGTTCCTGAAATATTTTCTTTGCTTCCGAAAATATGAATCGTACATTCCAAATTGAACTGAAATGTTAGTAGACAACTCTGAATACAAACGGAAAAATTAATGATGACGGATTTATGATGGCTCAGAAAACGAATCAAAGGGTTTTTCGAAACAGCAAATGAATGCCATCCCTTACTGAAATTTACGTATAAATTATCTGAAGTATCACTACCATTTCTGGACACATGTATATACAAAGGAGCCCGCTTCCAAGAATTTCATATTCTTCATGTGAAATCATATAGAACCAACAAATACATTCCAATATTTGCAACGCCACAGCGCTCACCCCAAATCAGTCTTCAAAGGGTTTATTAAAGGGGAATGTATATGACATGTTCGCAATACAAGTGAGGAGATTAATTTAAGCACAATGCTTTTCTTCAGTTCTTGAAATTATTTATTATTCTGTTCACTTTTTCTTGAAATTTAACTTCTTCTCTTAGACAAATTCTCATAACTGCATCCAAGGATGCTTGGCTAATGCGATTCCTTTTAGGGGTGCAGAGAGAATTCATAAGACGGAAAATACTCTCCACACTAGCTGTGCTTGATGGAATAATTGAAGCTAAATGGACAAGACCTCGGTTTATACGTTCTCATCCGAAGGACCGGTGTCCACGTCCCACAGTGGGATTCCAACCCGCGACGTAAGGATCAACTCTTTACTTCGTGATTCTATAGCACACACTCTAACCACTGAGCCACGTGGGCGAGGTTTTGAAGCAAAATGTTTGTTCAATGACGAAATCACTTTCTGAGTATTTGTTACTCGTTCAGTGTTTTACACTGTTTCTGAGACAAGATTCAAAATTTTTTTACTATGAATTCAATTATAAGCAAGCTGTAAATATCTGTAACTCATACCACTTCCAGCAATTTTGTTTACAATATTCCTGCTGATAACCCTACCCTTCACCAAATGTTCTAAAGAGGGACGTAGACCGCGTCGCGAAGTAAGGAGTCAATCCTTACCATATGGGTTCGAATTCTTCTGTGGGACGTCGAGACCGGTCCTTCGGATGAAACCGTATAAACCGAGGTCCCTTGTCGCAGTATGTGCTGGAGCGAAAAAGATCCCTCACTGCTCAAAGGCCCTAAGTGCGGAGTATAGGAGAAAATTTGCATCTCACCACCGGCAAGTGGCGGCGTCTCCATACGAGTGAACATTCTGTAGAGGGACGTTAATCAACATACAATATACAGAGGGGCAATTTTTCTGCTTCTATAAACAATAATGACGACTTCTTGGTGCTTTCGAAAATAAAAATATTGCAGCTATAAAAAAACCAGAAGTCTCTGTCGAGACTGTAGCTCTACTGGTTTGTACTTATCAAAAACCATTGCACTATTTTATGTATCTTTGTGT